TTGATATAGCAGATTTTTTCGTAGATCCAACAAATCCCCAGTGACAGAAATACTATGTAATTTTATATTATATTATTTTATATTTTGTAATATTTAAATTATCGTATATTACCTTTTTGTAATGCATTTTGTAATACATATATCTGTCTTTATTAATATTGCGTTTATTTATATTTGAAGGTTAATTGATGCCAATCAAGATAATGCAAATATGTGTTTCATTGACAGTGCAACGACACATACTATATTGAAACACAAAAAATGTTTCTCCCATTTGAAAAGAAAGAATGAATGTCAATATAATAAGTGGCATGCAAAATTAATTGAAGGCTCTGGAGAAGCCATTATATTTCTCCCCGCAGGGATGAAAATTGTGATACAGTATGCACTGTTAGCCACTAAAGCTTGAAGAAATTTACTGAGCTTTCAGGACATTTAGAAAAATGGTTATCACATTGAAACTATGAGTGATACCGATGGTGAATTTTTATTAATCACCAATATTATTGATAAAAAGAAATGCATCATTGAGAGATTACCCTCACTATCTACTGGCTTATATTATGCCAGATTAGGTGTTGTTGAAACACACCTCATGGTAGATCAAAAGACTACCGATTTTCAAATATGGCATAATCGCCTTGGGAATCCTGGTAGTATAATGATGAGGCGAATAATTGAGAATTCGCATGGCCGTTCATTAAAAGGTCAAAAAGTGTTAAACTCAAATGAGTTAACCTGTGTTGCCTGCACTCAGGGAAAATTGATAACCAGGCCATCACCAGTTAAAGTAGGTATTGAATCACCTACATTTTTGGAAAGAATACACAGGGATATATGTGGACCAATAGACCCACCGTGTGGGCCATTTAAATATTTTATGGTGCTTATTGATGCATCTATCAGATGGTCACATGTATGTTTATTATCTACTCGCAATATGGCATTTGCAAGATTGCTTGTTGAAATTATTAATTTACGGACACAATTCCTCAATAATTCCATTAAGACTATACGTCTGGATAATGCTGGTGAATATACATCGAATGCATTTGATGATTATTGCATATCGATTGGAATTAATGTAGAGCACCCAGTTCCTCGTGTTCATACACAAAATGGCCTGGCAGAATCACTTATTAAAAGATTGCAATTGATTTCTAGACCATTACTGATGAGGTCTATGTTGCCCGTTTTAGCTTGGGGCATGCAATCTTATATGCAGAAACATTCATAAGAATGGGGCCGACAAACTATCATAGCTATTCCCCTATGCAATTAGTATTTGGTCACGAACTAAATATATCTCATCTACGTATTTTTTGGTGTGCTGTTTATGTTCTTATTCCACCCCTCAAACGTACAAAAATGGGTCATCAACGTAGATTGGACATTTTTGTCGGATATGAATCGCCTTCAATTATAAAATATCTTGAACCTATGACGTTTGATTTATTCACTGCAAGATTTGCAGATTGTCATTTTGATAAATCATATTTTCCGACATTAGGGGGAGACAGAAATGAACAGAAAAGGGATATTAATTGGAAAATCCCATAGAATTTTTGTGGCCCTCATACAAAGTAGTGTGAACTAGAAGTTCAACGCATTATATATTTGCAAAATATTACAAATCAGTTGCCAGATGCTTTCAATGACTCGAGCAAAGTCACTTGATCATATATCCAAGCTGCTTGCTCTGGCTAAAATAATTGTCCCTGATGGACAAATTGCAAGTGCTAATGAATCAGCGACACGCTTAAAGTGTGATAGACCACTCGGTTCCAAAGACAAACATCCTCGAAAGAACAGAGAAATCAATTATGATAATCATAAAAATATCAGGAATGGCATTGATAAACCTCAATTTAATGAGGAAGTCAACCTTGAAATAATTGGTCAAGAAGAGCACGATCTTGAAGAATATGATAAGATTATTGAAAACTCAATTAACTATGTTACTTCAAGAAAATGTTGGAATCGTAAAGAGACAATTATTGATAATGCCTTCGGATACAGTTTAGCACTTGATATAATGGAAGAAAATGAGGATCCAGAGCCAAAATCGGTTTATGAATGTCGGCAAAAAACTGACCAGCCAAAATGGGAACATGCGATTCAAATAGAACTTGACTCATTAAACAAAATAGAGGTCTTTGGACCAATTGTTCAAACACCAGATGGTATAAAACCAGTTGGATACAAATGGGTGTTCGTACGAAAAAGAAATGAGCATAATGAAATTGTGAGATATAAAGCCTGTCTCGTGGCTCAGGGATTCTCACAAAGATCTGGAGTAGATTTTGATGAAACATACTCTCCGGTTGTTGATGGAATAACATTTAGATACCTTATGAGCCTAGCAGTGCAAGAAAAGCTTGATATGCGTCTTTTAGACGTAGTTACTGCATATTTTTATAACTCATTGGATATTGATATTTATACAAAAGTTCCTGAGGGATTTAATATGCCTGAAACATACAAATTAAACCCAAGGGAATCATATATTCCATCCAATTGAAAAACTCATTGTATGAACTTAAACAATCAGGGCGAATGTGGTATAACCGTCTCAGTGAATGTTTAATAAAAGAAGGTTATACTAATGATCCAATATGCCCATGCGTTTTCATAAAGAAAAATAGATCAAATTTTTTTATTATTGTAATATATGTTGATGATCTCAATTTAATTGGAACTCCTAAAGAGATCCAAATTGCAGTTGAATATCTAAAGAAAGAATTTGAGATCAAAGATTTTGGAAAGACAAAATATTGTCTGGGATTACAAGTGGATCATGTTAATAATGGGATATTTATTCATCAAGCCACATATATCCAAAAGGTATTAGAATAATTTTATATTAATAAATCTCACTCTTTGAGTACACCAATGGTAGTCAAATCTCTCGATCTCAGTAAAGATCCATTTAGGCCAAGAGAATAAAATGAAGAAATATTTGGCCCTGAGGTACTATATCTCAGTGCTATTGGCGCATTAATGTACCTTGCAAATTGTACCAGACCAGATATATCTTTCTCAGCAAATTTACTGGCCAGATTTAGCGCATCCCCCACAAAGTGTCATTGGAATGGTATCAAACATATTTTTCGTTACCTTCAGGGGAGTCATGACCTCGGTTTATTTTATTCGAGTAAATCTCGAAATAAATTAATTGGTTATGCCAATGTTAGTTATCTGTCTGATCCACATAAAAAAAATCTCAAACAGACTATTTATTTACTTGTGGTGGAACCGCAATTTCTTGGAGATCTGCTAAACAAACAATAACAGCTACTTTTTCAAACCATGTTGAAGTTTTAGCAATTCATGAAGCCAGTCGTGAATGCGTTTGGTTGAGGTCTATGACTCACCATATTCAGAAAAATTGTGGCTTGAATTATGATGATGTATTACCTCCTACAATTTTGTTTGAAGACAATGCAATTTGCATAACTCAGTTAAAGGGAGAATATATTAAAGACGATCGGACAAAGCATATATCTCCGAAGTTCTTTTTCACTCACAATCTTCAGAAAAGTGGTGAAATTAATGTGCAACAAATTCGATTGTCTGAAAATTTTGCAGATTTATTTACGAAAGCGCTAGCGACTGCAACATTCAACAAATTGGTGCAAAAAATTGGAATGCGTTGGACAAAAGACATCAAATAAAGTCCAAAATAGGGGAAGCGTATTTATACAAAAATGGTGTACTCTTTTTCATTCATTAGGATTTTTTCCCATTGGATTTTTTCCTAATAAGGTTTTAACGAGACACGTTCTTTGTATAAATGCATTCAAAGGGGAATGTTATAAATACGCGTATACGCAATGTGGATGCATATTATTATAATACATATGTATGACGCCTGTAATTGTTGATCAATTGTTAATCAGACATCCTTTTTCCTTTTCCTATATATACGTGTACTGAAAAAAAATATGAGTGAGAAAGTCGCATCAATCAGTTCTATTATTTAGTCTCTCTATATATATATATATAGATACATATACACTCATACATACACATATATTATATTAATTATTATATAACAAAAATATATATGCTTATTTTTCTATCTATTATTTAAAAATATTCTTTTTTCTTATAAGTAAAAGTTATATATATATATATTGTATTTTTTATTGTAAAGAAAAAAAAAATACATATAGTGATTAAAACTAGTGGTAAAAATTTGATTTTAAAAAAAATAATAATAATGAGTACATTTTTAAGTGATTGAAGAAATAATTAATAGTGGGAGCCCGGTCCCAGCCTACTTCCAAACACACCCTAAGGGCAGCCTACTTCCAAACATGCAATTGCAAGAATGGAATTCAGGAGAGATACAAGGCATAAATAGAATATGCCTACTTAAAAATAAAAAATAAAAAATACATCGAACATTAAAAAATAATAAATTAAATAAAAAAAATTATATTTTAGTTTGATAATTTATTGTAATAATAATTTAGATATAATATTTATGAAACTTGAATAATATAAAAATTAAATAATAATAAAAAAATAAACAAACATTTAATCATAAAGATTAAATATAAAATTATAAAATAAATAAACATATAACCTGACTCATTTCTCTCTATTTCTCTGACTATATAAGAATAATGAAATTAGAAAATAAAAAATAATTTATTTTTCAATCCTGAATTGTCTGTTTCAACCAAACAAGAGAAATAAAGACATTTTCATTTACCGGTCTTCATTTTTATGTACCAAATACACCCTAACACTCTATCTCCGACCAATACACCAGTGTGTATGGTACAGGGGATTAAGTTGAATTGGGGACACACGATTAGTACACACTTACGTGTGTTTGTTTGGAGGATTGGATTGAATTTACACTATTCATTCAATTTTTTCCCCCAAAAACATCAAATCAAACACCTATTTTTCATTTTTTTATATTATACTAAAAATTAATTTTACATTCAAAACACCACATAACTCCTATTTATATCACATCATACAACTATTTAAATTCAAAATTTTTACTATTCGAATCCCAACTCAAAATCCAAACCCCCAAACAAACACACAAAAAACAAATCGGACAAACGCCCAAAAGAAGACTGAGCCTTTCCATCTCATTGATATGATAAGGTTAACGGTACCATTCCTTGACCCAAGGAAAAACAAAACAGATAGAGTCAGCTTAACCATAAACAAAACTCAAACAGATGAAAAGCACACTTACTTCCTCAGCAGCATTATAACAATCTACAGCACAGCAACGATCGATCACACCCAGCCAACGCCAACTCCCGTTGTTTTTTATTTCCCATAAAACCATCCATCAACTTAGTTCCAGTTATTAGTACCTGAGCTGAGCAAAATGGGGAAATCTACAAGACAAACCAGGCGTAAGGTTGGTTACTTCTCAACAAACGATGACTCAGCAAGATCGATAGCACGAGCAAGAGCAGCAGCCTTGTTTTCACATTCTCTCTGCTCGTCATCAGGATCGCTATCCGCAACTATTCCAGCCCCAGCTTGGAGATAAGCAACCCAATCCCGGCGCCTCTCATTGCCGTTGTACGAGTAGAGCGTGTCGTACCGCATGCTGGATGGGAATACGATTGTTCTCAGAGCTAGTGCAATGTCCATGTCCCCCGTAAAGGAAATGCCACCAAATCCACCACTGTACGGCCCACGTCGTGTTACTTCTAATTCATCAATCAATTCCATGGCTTTCACCTGCATTATTTAAGATTACAAGTACTAATTATTTTCCTTCAAATAACAATATGTCAAAACACCAAAAGCCTTGTCATATATATATATATATATAATAACCAACATATAAACACTGAATTTAGCAAAGGCGACTCAAAAATGGGGATGTAAGTTGCACCATTTTAAAAATTATGTGACTTGATAATGAAGAGTGAAAAAAACAGCATATGCTATTCAAGATTCTCCTAAAAACATTGGTATGAATCACAATTAAACATAATTTAACAGCAAGCCATTGTGAGTCAGTATGTCTTGAATGGTGACAAGAAAGAAAATCAGAAAGATGAATACCATGGGTGCAATAGAGAAGTATAATAAATATGCACACAATATAGAATTTACTCAACAACCTTTGGAGCTCCGCTAACAGTTCCAACAGGCAACGCTGCACGCAAAGCGTCCCAACTGGTCAAATTGGGTGAGAGCTCGCCAGTAACCTTAAAATCGATAATCAGAGGAAAAAAAAAATGTTAATTGTAAGTGTTAGTTCCATCTCATAGTCATCCAAATAAGAATACATTAGCTATATTTTGACAAAGATAAAATAACAAATTAATTAATGACTTCAGTATTGCATGGAATAATATGAAAGAGCATTTATCTTCCAGTCTTTCTGAAAGTACTGCACACACTAGATGGAACTTGAAATAACTTCTCACCAATATTTAATTCGTAATGTTTATCACTTGCTTAATCATCTCAAAATTGTACAAAAGCACATAATCAGAAAATGAATGACAAGATAATTTCTGGAGAAATATACATACAGTGGAGCTGATGTGCATGACATGGGAATAGCGTTCAATATTCATTAGCTTCTCCACCTTCACAGATCCAGGTCTCGATACCTGCATTGCCAAATCTAGTCTTAGTCCATTCCTGATGTAAGAAAAAAGATTGGAACTTTAGTAACATTCATGAATATTCCTAACTAAAACATATTCTATTGATGTTGACTCTCTTGAATCACAAAAACAGTGGATAATGCACTATGATGTATTTGGTTTAACCCGGATAATGTGTAAGTGGTGCTTACATGCACATGCACGTGTGCTTTTATCCAATGATTGATTGAGTGATTTAGGATTTTGTGAGAGAAATTAAGGTACTAAACAAAAAGTAGGGTTATAATATTCTAGGAGGCTTATTGGAGTATAACTGAGTGAACTACGAAAACCTGAGAAAAAATAAGAAAACTAGGTTTTTAAAATAGAGCTTAAAAACTAAGCTATTGCATATTCTTTTGGAAACAAAAGTTATATATGTCCTATTGAACACATAAATTCAACTAAAATAATAAAACTAGAATGACAAGAGTTAACATTCAAGTAGAAACCTACAAAATATGAGGTGCTAACTAAATATTAGAGAGAATGAAAACATATAAAATTATATACAGACAGGTAATTGAGTATAAAATATTTAGAGACAGCTATACTCAAGAATAGTAATCTACATCCCAACACCAGCCATCGAGTTTTCTTTAGCTCTGTTGAAGTTCTAAAAAGTATTTAAAGCATCTACTTGTAAGATATGTCAGGAAAAATGAAAATCTAAACACAAACAAATGAACATAGAGTTATAACTTGGAGGGTACAAAATTTTCTTTCATATATTATAGCAAAAGATAAAATTATGGAGTGAAGAAAACAAAAGGAAGAAAATGCTCAGAGGGTGTAAGAAATCATGAAAAAGAAGATAAACAAAGTAAATATTATAGGATAGTTGAAATGAACTATTGCCGCAGGAATTTAAATGGATTCATTTAAAAGCCACCAACACTAAGTGAGTATGAAGTCATAAACCACACAGCCATATTTAATATCATAGAGATATGACCTTTCCAACATCATTCCTTCCCAAATCAACAAGCATGATGTGCTCTGCACACTGTTTTTCATCACGCAATAGCTGATTTTCCAACATATAATCTTCTTTCGGTGTCTTGCCTCTCCGTACAGTTCCTGCCAGAGGTCGATTGGTAATCTTTCCCTGTCATTGAACAAAATATTGAAAAATGACTAGCAAGGAGGGAACAATGTCAAACCTAGTGTAAGAACTATGTAAGGACTTCAAAGTTGTAATTTGATTAATAAATCATATGAAATCTCTAAGCATCCAATAATTAAACTGCATATAAAAGTCAAAAGTATAACTGTGTTGTAGAAGCAGCAGAAAATTGAGGAATAAAGATTAATCATGATTCATAACCAGGCTGTGTGGCCTGACATTTTATAATCAAGCAGTTGTTGAGTGCTCCTTCCTGTAACCTTTTCATTTTCGTTCTAGGATTTAGAAGTCAAGGCATTCCATTTTAGACAGTGTGACACACCCAACAGCATTTTCCAACATATAGTCTAACTTAAGACTCCACATTTTATTGGTCAGGGCACCAGCTCAAGCAATGATGCCAATAAATTTATAGCATAACACTCAAATCAACTAAAAGCAAGCAAATCTTTTAGTTTAGAATATATCAATAGCCATCTAGCATAATTATCTTCTAGATTAACTCCCTCATTTATTTCTAGAATAGCTCTCACATTAGCTTCTGTAATTATCTCCTAAATTAGCTTCCTTATCAATTCCCATATTAGCTCCTTTTGTTAGCTCCTAAAATATCTGTAATTGTCTCCTTGATTAGCTCCAATTGTAATTAACTGTCTACCTATATATACATAGTGCATCAATGAGAATAATCGTCATGATATTCTCTCAATCTCTTCTATCTTTGGTGGTATAAACCTAACAACAGTTTTAGCCTTTTTTCCTCCTCCTCGCTACTATCATGGTCGACATCATCTGCCGCTGCTATGGTAGCCAATAACCTCATCGTCCATAGTCCATACTCGGCACTACCACGATTTATGTGCACATGCACATCCCTGTCTCCCTCAAGATGCACCCTCCAAACTTCAGCCGATGGTGTGAATACTTTGCATGACTCCTTGACAAATCTGGAGCCTTCAAACACATGAGGCACCCCTACCCTTGCAATCGTTGACCCTTTGTGGCAGGCCACCAACTTCGTAGTAAGCTCTCTTCTCTATGCCTCAATCTCAACAAATTCTTTACGTCATTCTTTGGTGCATACGCCCACACCATCTGGACAATCATCGAGGCATTTTTCTTGGCAATAAGGCTTCGTGTTCACTCTCTTTGGAGGCCGACTTCTACAATCAGGTGCAAGGCGAACTCTTGATCCTTGCCCACTCCTAACACCTCAAAACTTTAATTGTTGTCCTTGCTGACATCTGAAAAAGTTGAATCTATTCGCTCAATTGAATTTTGGTTACACAAAACCCTACATAATATACAATAAATACCTGAAATACCTAAAAAGCCTTTACACTACACTTTAAATACAAAATGAGCCTCTATACAATATTTCTAACTTGACATCGACCAACTTGTCTCCCCAACACTCTCATCCTCACCTTGCTTCATGGTTACAATGAGAACCATGGACACTTGGCCTCCATCACCAAGACAATGAACCCACTTCCTTCGTTTCTCGAGGCTTGCTCTCTACTCCTACTTGAAAATGTCAATCTGAAGATTAGCAAACCTGAACTTGCAACGGCTCCAATTACACCAACAAACAAGTCTTCTTCCACTCTCTCTGGATCCTACTCTGGTGGACCTAATGGCAGCCAACACAAGTTCAAGCCCAAGTACAAGGGCAAAGACTAGAGTATCTTGAATATCTGTGGCAACAATACCAGCATTTCTTGGAATGGACCAACCCCCCGGTCAACCCATGCACTAGCCAACTCCAAGTTTGGCCCCTAGGCGGTCCTGGCCTTCTTAAGGCTGGTCCATCTCGGACATTCATTACACCTGGCAGCTTCCAAGGCATGCCTCCACCATACCAGCTAATGTAGCAGCCCGCTCCTAACAGACCATCTTCTTACATTCCATCATTCACCACCTCTTTTTTGGATTGAGCCTCATTTATCCAGGTCTTGAAAGTAGGTGGCCTTACAATAACCTAACAACACTTGGTACATGGAGACTAGTGCTTCATCTAAACTCTCCACCAATCAAGGTACCTTGTCTAATTTATTCCACTCATCCCCTTCTTATGTCATCATCAGTGATGGCTCTCATCTACCCATTACCGGAACCGGCATGGAACTCTTCCCGCTAAACCTAGTCCTCTTAGCTCAAAGCATTGCCTTTTTGCCCAAAAATTGTTTCAAAACTTGTTTATGTTTGTAAATTCAAAAATGACAATCTATGTTATGGGGAATGTAACCCTTTTGGTTTCTTTGTTAAGGATCTCTAAACAGACACAAGATTCTTCACTACAAAAGCTTTGGTGGCTTGTATCTATTTCAGCTGCCCCCCTCACCACACACTTTCTTCAACCCACCACACACCACAACCACCATATGGCACCAGCGTCTCAGTCCCCTTGGTCACCCAAATTTATCTAGATTCCCTTGTCATTTGCTACCTCTTGTAAAAAACTTGATACTGAAATTTGTCATGTGTGTCAACTCGGGAATCATGTTCACCTCTCTTTTCTACTTCATCGTCTCACAAAACCAAATCATTTGAAATAATCCATTGTGATTTATGGATGCCACTCTCCCTATTATATCTGGCTTTAAATACTATGTTGCTTGCTTGGATAGACACACACATTACTTACAGACATGTCCTCTTAAACTTAAATCCAAAAATTTTCAGGCCTTATAAAATCTTCATGCTTACGTTCAAATTCACTTTCACTCTTCAATCTCTTTCATATGAAATTCGATAATACTTCTGCTTGAGATTCCTTGTTCGTACATTTGTACCACCAACAATATTATGTGCTACCTACTCTTTCAAGCCAACCCCCACCCACAGTTTTGGGTGAAGCTTTAAACAGCAACATACATTCTGAACCGAGTCCCATGAAAGTCTTTAACAAAAAAACCCTCAAAAGTCTTTCGGCCCTCCACCTATATGTTTTCGGTTGGCGTTTTCCAAAATTCACATCCATAGCCAACCTTAAACTGGCACCATGCTCTATCAAATGCATCTTTCTCAGTTATCTAACCAATCAAAAGATTACCATTGCCTCAACTTGTCCTCAAACCATATCACTATCTCGAGGCATGTAATATTTGATGAAAATAATTTTCTATATGGTACTCACTTGTCTCCGTAGATGTCTTTATATAGGTTTCTTGACAACTTGGACGATGATGCAACACCTGTCTAATTTCTACTGCTTTCTACTGACCAATCGGCATTGCTGGCATATACTCCCATCATTGGCTCCACAAGCCAGCTACATGGGCATGGGATGCCCCTAGCCTCTCCCGACATATCCGACGGCTCGCAAGTGCATGGATTGTCATGTATATTCACACGGAACAGAAGGAAAAGACCGATCAGCAAGCATGTTGGGTCCCCTTGTGCTCCACCTAATGCAAAGCTATGCTTCGGTAATACAAGTCTATTTCTATTGGATACGTATTGGACCTGCTACTCTGCCACAGTGACCAAAACTCACAATCTGAACTCCTCGGCAATGACTTTGGATCCTATGTCAGTACCAGTACACTCTCAGTCCCGTTCCAGTATCCGGTGGAACACATTCCTCCTTGGTGAACTATCACACGATGCAAACCAGAGGCAACAACAACATTAAGGTTCCTCGGGAGAGAATACAATTGCAGAGAAGTGACAATAACGAATAGAATTGCAGAGAAAGAACATTCAATAGAGAATGTTTGGTAAAATAGAGAATTATGATACAAGTAAAAAATAAATAAATAAATAAATGAAATACAATAATCTAGATGAATCGATCTAGGAAGGACGATGTATTGCAAGTGAAAAAAAGAAAATGGATCAATCGGATGGAGACCATTAATTGGGTAAGAGAAGATTTCAGTGGATGGAGACCATGAATTGGGTAAGAGAAGATTTCAGTGAAGTGGGAATCTGTAAAAGAATATTATCACGTTTAGTATGTGATTTTTTTTTTAAATTTTTTATATGAATAATAAGTTAAATGTGATGTTTTATAGGATTTAAATTGTGTGTTTTTTAGGGAAACCGTGAAAGTTAAATAGTATAAAAAAATTGATAAATAAATAAATAGATACTGTGCCTTTCTTAGGATTTGTTTGCTTTGTGAAAATTTTCCAAACATATTTACCCCAAAAAATTAATATATTACATACAGGCATTATTTTTATATTATCTACCAAATTTCCTATATCTCATATAGAAAAAACTCCCTTCGAACCAAAACACAAAACAAACAACCCTTTAATTTTCATTTCTGTCCAATTCTCAGCATACACGAGAGAAATAAATATAAAGAATGAGAATTATTTATTTCACCAATTTGAATTCATTGACTCAAGCAAATAGGAGAAATGGGGGAAATTTCCATTTCTCTACCCCAGTTGATAAGTTTAATGCTCTCATACTCATAGCCAATTAAACTTGGGAACTTGGCAACTGGGTCTACTGCCACAAGCTCAACTTTGATGGCTTGATACAAGGCACAATGGATTTTGTGCAACTTTCTCGCAAAAGCCTGGCCTTGACTACAAATTTTCAGTCCTGTCATCAACAAGCCTTTGGCCACCCGAACAGTTCTCTTCCTCTTCATCTACAACGATTGGCCTATCCATCAGTTGGATGTAAAAATGCATTCTTAAATGGCACATTCACTAAAACTGTGTTCTGTTAGAAACCATTTGGTTTTTTCCACTCCACGGGCCCGAGTTACAAGTGGCTTTACAGACTCAAACAAGTGGCCCACGCTTGGTACAACCAATTATATGCCTTCATACTCTCCATTAGATTTCACAACTTAAAGTGACACATCTCTCTTCATCTACAACAAAAGCTCTAAGACCATCTACTTTTTGTTGTATGTCATAAATTTATCCACACAGCCTCTACATTCGCTCTTTTTCACCGAGTCATGGAAGCTTCAGCAGGAATTTTCGATGCTTGATTTGGACATCCTGCATGAC